GATTTCCAAATTTAGAATAACATACCCATGCTTAATAAGCAAATGAAACGTAGTAAGATATTTTGTCGCATATAACATTCATTAGTCTTCTATTAATTAACTCATCATCATTATAATCGTCAAAGCCTTTTCTCAACTAATTAGAGTCGGCTACTAAAATGTTGATCTACCATTCCGTTCTAATAAGAGGTTCTATTGATTAAGTGAAGGCATAAAAAATTGATACTCCACGTAATCGCCACCGTTCCGCACTTGAGTGGATTGCAGTGGCCTATACGGTGGTGTGTACAAATGTACCCCAACGAACATGTACACCATAAACATGTTGTATTAGGTATTACATGGATAGCCATCCCGTCCACCATCCATCATGAAGGACTCCATCAATGGTAACGGAACAATTTTCAGTGAAGAATGCTTCATCTGAATTGTTTGTTGTTGAAAATAAATCGGTGGATGTATAATCTCATACTACAAATATAACGTGTTTATGGAATGCGTAACATGTTATGGTATGCTTCCTATGCCACATTCTGTTTATTAAATTTTGAAAAATCCTTGCATTAGTATAATGGTTAGGCTTAACAATAAAAAGTAAAACCGTAGTATACTTCCTATGCCACATTCTGTTTATTAAATTTTGAAAAATCCTTGTATTAGCATGGTGGTTAGGCCTAACAGTAGAAAGTAAAATTGCTACCAAAAATCCAAAAGAAATCTAGTTCCAGCACAAAAAAACCCTTATAATGGCCTAAAAAACTCTTTCTACCCCTGATTTTGAGACTCGAAGCTCAAAAATGAAGATAGAAATGATATGTGAACACTTGAATATAAGGTGTTACATGATAAATCATTTTTAAGACTTAAATTTTGTTTTTCTCAAATCCATAGTTGTAAAAATTGAGATAACCAATTTGGTTGTTTTCTAACACCAAAACTACATTTCTCAGTAAGATTTTGATCTACATCTGGACCTTAAATAAATCCACATTTAAGATCATTACTACAAAAGTTTTCCTCCTTGGCCTAATAGTATTAGTTAGGAGATGCGATTTAATTCGAGTTGAAGGTTCTAAAAGAGTAAGAAAAATGCTCAAAAGGACATGGACGGAAGTAGTAAGAAAAAATATGATAGACTTATGTTCTTATTAAGAGTATGGTTCTTGATAGGGCAGAATGGAGGAATAGGATCCGTATAAATGACCCTATATAATTCAGATAATGTTCGAATGATGACGATGATGATGACGACAACTACTACAAAATTTCTCGAGACTTTTGTTTTCTTTGTGTGCTAATGTTGAATGCATAAAGTTTGTCCTTTTTCTTTATACTATGCTCTAAGAAGCCATTACCCAAGTCTAGTAAAGCTCACTAGCGTCAAAAGTTTGCATATGTTTGGTATGATCTTGTTTAATATATATGAGTAATGATCCTATGAGACCCTCCAACACCTATGTATGTAGGACCCCAAATGATCACCATTAAATTTGGCACAAATCTCTAGAAAAATTATCACATGGATGTGAGACTTGACTTTCTAGAGATCTGTGTCAAATTTAATAGTGATCCTTTGGGGTCTTACACACATGGATGTGGGAAGGTCTCACAAGATCATTTCCCAATATATATTATAGATAAAATAAAAAAATAGACACTATGTATGACCTTATATTTGACCGCACATCAAGTAAGAAATTCAATTAAAGGTTATCATGTGCAATGTAGCTAATATATTAAATATTACCTAAGGAACAATTGTTCTATGCGGGCTGATATGGGTTTCTACAATATACGGTCCAGAGGCATCCATCTTAAAGATGGATGTAAATAGGTGGTCCATCTAAAAACAATTGTAACTAACGGTTCAAATTTTTTTAATATAATCATTATTTTAGTTTTTTTAAAAAAATCATATTCATAATCTCCATGTTAAAGATTATACTCTAAAAATTAGGATTCAATTATATTAAAATATATATTTATTGCCAAGCCCGCATTTCTACAATATTTGGTCTGGTTGCTTGCTAACTGCATCCTTATGTAAGTCATTGGTTTGTTCTCAAATTGTTTACGGTGTGTCCTTGTTAGGGCAAGGACAGGTTGGGCCAAAAAAGAAAAATTAATAAAGAAAACTAAAAAAAAAAACAAGAAAAAAGGGGACCTGGCTAGGTTGAACAGGCCGACACTGGCCCAAGCCCAGCCCAGCCCTTGGACTACAATTTGTGTCGCTGGCCCGACTTTTTTTCTTCTTCTTTTTTAACAATATTAAGAACTTTTATTGAATAATTGCTTGAAAAGCATAAGTTACATTGCTGGAAGAAAGAGTCAAAAATAGACAAAGAAGGTAGAGAAACACCGACTCACTCAGGTCGACTAATTGACTTGTTAGAGATAATTCTATGTCACAACCCAGTGTACTTTTTTACAATTTTTTAGTATTATCGCGTAATACAGAAATTTGGCAAACTCTTGGTAACAAATAAAATTAAGCGCACCCTCACTTTTAACGGGGTTGACAATAACATCGCGGAAAAAAGTTTATAGAAGGTTGCAGTCTTATGATATATAAGTAAGGTGTACCTCAAAAATAAGTGGAAATAAGTGTTGTATAGTTCGAAAAATTTTCAATTGATCATCTTAGTCTTGAGATATATGGATATAAAGAAAAAAGAAAGAATTTCAAGTCTTAAAAATAATATATCTTATAACAAATTATTTGGACCATCTAGTTTTGAGATTTTCAAATGTTTATATATCTACTAGATATGCATTGTTTTTGAAATTTTGAATTTCGTAATTAGAGTTTAACAAAGATTTTAAAGCCATCAGAAGGTTTCCAATGCCGAAATTACATCTATTTGTGTCTTACTTGTGTCTTATAAAGGTGGGCATCTTATACAAACCTCATCCTTTGAAAAATTGGTAGATAATAAGGAAAACAAATTAATAACCTCATAAAAACCTTCATGTGGTCTACCGAACACCACGAGTGGGAGGATTTGTATAGCACATGTATTTTGAAACGGACCATTCACTTTATGCATTCATGTCAAATTGTTGAATCGATATGGATCGGTGATACATAAAAATATTAAGAATTAAAAATATAAAATTTAAAAAATATATACTTTAATTTTCGTCTAATTGGAAAAAGACCTTCAACTTTAATAAACCTCGTCCACACCGTTTTTACTCAATTTTGGTTTTTTTATTTTTTTTACCAAAATAGCATTCACGATAGTCGTATTACTGTAATGACTAACGCATTACAATACTTTAAGTACCGTAACGAGTAGGCACTACGGTTCTTTAAATACCATAATGCATACTGGTCTCTTTTTCTCTCATTTGCCACATCACATCAAACTACTGGAAATTTGAGCATTACAGCGTTTAAAGTACTATAATGCTTAGCCTGGTCATCACGATACGTTAAGTACCATAATACTTTGCCTCGTCATTACGATACTTAAAGTACAATAATACGACTACCGTGAAGTATTGTAATACTGTAGTCATTCATAATATGACTATCGCGAATGCTATTTTTGTTTAAAAAAATCAAAATTGAAAAAACATGATATTGATGAGGGTTACAAAAGTTGAAAGCTTTTTTTTAATTAGGCAAAAATTAAGGTATATTTCTGATAATTTCTCAAAAAATAAAACAATATTAATTTCGAGGTTTTTGGGATAAGATTTAGTTGGGATATCTAAAATTATTAAATAACCTATATATATATATATATATATGGGAAATAACATTGTGAAACTCTCCCACATCAATGTGTAGGACCCTAAAAGATCATCATTAAATTTAACACATATATCTAAAAAAGTCATCTCGCACTCACGTATATGAGTAATGATTTTATGAGACCGTCTAATATCTATATATGTAAGACCTCAAAAGATTACCATTAAATTTGATACAGATCTCTAAAAATATCATCTAATAATTGTGAGATTTTTCTATCTGTGTCAAATTTAATGATAATTCTTTACTATCCTACGCATGTGAGAGGGTTTCACGAGATCAATTCCCTATGTGAGAGGGTTTCACGAGGTCAATTCCCTATATGTATATAAATGGGGTATGGGGTTTCACGACGTCAATTCCCTATATGCATATAAATGGGGTCTTAGGGAGAGTTAGGCGAATGCCAGGACTACCTGACGGCGGAGTGGATAACACTCATGTCCAATCTAAATTGACGATTTGATCAAGATTGCTACGTCTAAAAACTCTAAAGGACCATCCGAACGACGAGGAGGGGCGTTTAGGGCGACGAATTAGTTGGCACTTACATTATTCAAGGATTATATATTATCCACTAATGAATTTTTCAAGCCCCGAGGAGTAACGCAATTGAATTCCAGGGATGAGAACAACTCACAACTAAAATGTGAAACCTAAAACCCAAAGCTTCCTCACCTTCACAATGCAAATACTTGTGTAAGGGATTGTTTGACTGGCTCCAATTTCATCCAGATGGGGAACCAGCCCGCTATGGAGATGGTATGGTTCCGACCCGGTTAAACCCACCGCTCTTCTCCCGTCCCCCTTCCCTTAAAACATCTCCTTTTATATTATTTTTTCTTTTTTAAGCTTAAATAATATTTTTTTATGTTTAATTTAATTTTTTTTTAATTGTATGACAATTTTTTGGAGCACCATTCAAACCAATCTAAATCAGCAATCATACGACTCAAATATGTGAGCAGCCAGGCAACCTGCCCCACAAATCCGGTTTTAAAACGCTGTTGATCGTCAGAGTCCTATGTTTTTGGTCCCTCAAACTGGACAAAAGTTTTTTAGTCCCTTGAATAGGACTAAAATTGTTGTTCTTCTCCTTTTCTTCTTTGTTTCTCATCTTCTAGTTATTTGTTTGCTTCTCAGCGTCTGGTTATTTACTTGCTAGTATAAATTGTGGATGATTCAATGGGGATGTTCTCGAGGGTATTATATGAAATGAGAATAGAAGTTTGATTTTTAAGAGAAGCACACAAGAAATCACTCTTGATAAAGAATCAACTATATACTTTTACAAGTAGAAAAAATAATCAAAGAATAAATATATCAGGACTACATATATTTCCTTCTTCCCTAGGGTATTGGTACTAAACCAGAGTGGAACAAGAGCTGGTCTCAGGATCCCACAAAGCCGGCAACAAATACTTCCTCCCGTTGACGCCATTCGCATTATAACTCGCCCCCGACACCTCGTCCACCAATAGATCCCCAGCGTACCCAGGGTACGCCCCCTTCCCGTAAATCCCGGGACACGCCGACGCGGCCTCCAGCGGGCCGTTGGCGGGTCCCTGGTAATATCCATCTCCAAATGGGTTTGTCACAGTCCCTGCCATGAGGCTCCCCACATTGATCGCCATCCCGTCCACGCCCACATCGCCATTGGGGGCGACGAGGGCAGGGGTCTGAGGCCCGTAGATCGGCTTGTGGAAGGGCCATGCGCACTGTCCAGGGCACTGGGTCTCGGAGTTGCCCACCCAAATGTAGGTGAATTTGGTTCCGTGGGCAGAGCGGGCCGAGCCGTGGGTTCCGCAGCGGCTTGAGCAGAAGCCCTCAACTGCGACGTCCTTGGCTGTGAGCACCACATTGATCGCGTTTTTCTCATCGCCCTTGGAGGCGAGGGCCACGAGCTGGGCGTTGGTCAGGGTTTTGCCCAAGGAGTAAGAGGTGTCGAGGATTTGCTTGTTTAGAGTGAGGCGGAGGGAGCGCGATGAGGAGGCGGGGCGGTACGTTTGGGTGGTTTGCCACCAGGAAGAGACTGAGGGGGAGGTGGGTTTCGGGGAGGAGAGAGAGAGGAAGAGGTCAGAGATGATGGCGCGTTGGGATGGGGTGAACGAACCATACCAGATGAGGTTTACTGCAATACGGCCGGAGAGGACATGGCCATTGTGGTATTTTAGGGTTAGGGGCTGGTCTTGCACTAGCTCAGCTGGGGTGATCCTCGCAGCTGAGGCGAAGTGAAAGAGAGAGAGGGTGAGGAAGAAGAGGTGAAAAGTAGAGAGAGACGCCATATCTTCTTTAGAGAGTGAGTGAGCGAGCGAGCGAGCGAGCTAGAAGAAGGGGCCTTAAGGAAACTGGGAGAAGGTTTTACTGGTTGAGAGGGAGAGAGGGGGGGAAAGGTTTGGATGATGAAGAGGGACTTGCGGAGAATGGGGTTTTTATATGCGACGGTTTAGAGAGAGAGAGAAAGAAAGAAGGAGCGGAGAAAGACGTTACAGTGGGTGGCAGTTGTCGTGTGGTGCAATAACACCCACTGGATTTTAATTTTCGAGAAACGGTATCCTCGTCTTATATTTTCTCCCGATGGTGTACCTTAAATTTCGGAACTGGCCTTCGGATCACTACGCGAAGACCGGTGTGGCTCAAAAGAGCGTGAAATAGGGTAGCTACCCCTTAATCCACAAGAGTGTGGTTTCAGCTTTTATTCAAGCCCAAGCTTTTTATACGACCCCACTATATATAAATTATATTGGCTTTACTTCTAAGCCGTTTGATTAGATTAGATTAGATGGTTAGAATAACTCATATCACAATGTCACATCAAATTATCATTTGATTTTTGTTCTTTTTCTACCAGCTATGCTTGAGTAAAATTTGGGGCATACAATTTTCTTAATGGGGCACATTTAGCAAAAATAAAAAAATATATATATTTCTCAAGAAAACAAATGACAAAAATTCCACAATTAAGGGTATTTTGGTAATTTTTATTGCGTGAAATATTTTTTATTATTTTTACTATTTGCCCCTTTGTTATGTATGGATGTTACAAAATGATTTATTTATGGAATAATAATTAAAAATAAAAAACTCTCACGGAGGGTAATTTGGTAATTCATCTGAAAAATGAGGGTGAAGAGAGCAGGGAAAGATTACAGGGGCAATCGTGGTTTCGAGGCACTGTGAACAGGCTGGACTCTTTTTGGGACGGCGTGGAAGGAGAACCATCCAGCTGTGCCGCGTCGAGTTGCTTTTTGTCCTATTGCTTTTTTCTGAAAATAAATATGTGCGTAAAAATTAAAAATAATGGTTAATATTTAATAATATTAAATAGCGTCCACACTCAACTCGTGAGAGGAAGGAATCTTACAGCTGGCACACGCGGCGACTGCTGGCGGTTTGACACCGTGTCACCTTCGACAGCGACCCACCTAATCGCGGATCTCTTGGAGCCGACGTGTCGCTGTATTATGACATGGTAATTTATTGGTGTGTGACGTGGCAATACTTGGAAAATCATTGGCGGATGACATGGCGGTCAGCACGACGTGCACGAGAAGGAAAGGCGGAGATAGTGGGTCCCGAACTCTCAAGTGAAGTGGGTGATCAAAATTAGAATGCCTTGCCTTTAATCGATTATTTGGACATCGAGAATAATGACGATTAAAAAAAAGCAAGACTTTTGAGTTTTAAAAATAGTACATCATACATTACATGATCTAAAAAGTTCATTTTCAAGATTTTCATATATTTATAGATCGATTTGATTTTTACTATTTTTAAAATCTAAAATTTTATAATTAAATGTGAAAATAGATTTTTAGATAATCTTAAGAATTGTTTACACTAAACTTAGATGTTATGATAAAATTTAGAGGGACGCCTTAATTAGATTGTTTAAAGTTGCAACTTTATAGAAATTACATCCAATTTTTTTAGCCCAAATAAAAGAAAAAACGTTTTCCCTTCTTAAACCCCCGCTCTCTCTCTTTCTTTCTCTTTTCTAAATACCAAGCTAAATATATGAGTCGAGTTGGTTCATTGGCTTCACTTTTACCTAACATTAAAAAACTAAAATTTCCAAAAACAACTAAAAAATAGTAATGAACTAGAAGAGAGAGGCGGATCTTGAAAAGAACAGAAAATAATGTCCTTTTTACTTTTGTTTAGAAAAAAATATGTGGTCAAAAGGAATAAAATTGATCTAGGTGGATTAGAAGATATACTATAGGGGATCTCTATACCGTCAAATGTGTTTTCAAATCCTGAGTTTGTTAAGAAATAAAACCTAAAAAAAAAATATATGGAGATATTTTTCTTTCTTAAAACATTTGGTGGCTTTTTGGATGGGTTCCTAAAATGAAACTATACCACGATGATGTTACTTAGATAAGAACAACTACTAAACTTGATCATGGTGGACCAAACAACCGGTAAAGTCGGCCAACGAGATAGTTGGAGGACCATCAAATCCCAATCATTCATATGATAAATCACGACATTAATCTAAATGTTAATGTTTTGCTATTGCAATGTACACGTAGATGAACGATCAGATGTGAGTATTATATATATAAAAAAGAAAAGGAAGGAACAATAAGATGTGAGCATGCATGTATATTGCATATAGTTGATAGGTGATGTCGGATACTGTCCCATACAGTGAATTTGAAGGGGGAATGTGTATGTCCATCACGTGTTCATAAGAAAATGAGAAAAGAAAGATGGGATGGCAAGATATACTAGGAAAGGGGGGACATGGGGACGAATTGAGACTGGCTCCTGAATCCGGCGACAAATGCCATGTGCTCCAACTTTTTTCACTTTAAAAACCTGGGCTTAGGCTCTTGATGGGCTCCGGCGACAAATGCCATGTGCTCCAACTTTTTTCACTTTAAAAACCTGGGCTTGGGCTCTTGATGGGCTCCAGCCACGACTCGCTCGGGTTTTGAGCCCGAACATGAGGTCGACTCGGTTACGTTGGATTATCTTTCTGAGCCAGGCGCAAATAAAAAATATGTAACTTAGAATGGCTCAAACCACACCAGTCCGACTGGTGAGATGTAAATGTATAAAAACATATTTAGTAATATAATAATATAAATTATGTCATTAAAACTTCGTAAAATTTTATTTAGCTGCTAAATAGTCAAAATATATGAAATATTGATTTGATCAGTTTTTAATCCAACTCTATTCTTTTTTTATTTTTTTTTATCAGTCCAACCAAGACACTTGGTAGGACCAACCGCCAATCAAACCCAATTAGACTAGCGGACCTATCCAGTCTTGCTAACCATAGTTACATGTCAATAAAGGAGAACAATGAATGTTTGAGATTTGGCAACCTCCTATGTGTGGTTATGTAGGAATTCGAGTGGAAATGATTGGCATAGCAAAATTTTGTAACATATTTACACTTGCCCTAAGCTGGGTACGCTAACTTTATCTTTTTATTTTCCTAATTTACAAATCACTCTCCAACTGCAAAGGACCACTTTAAAAAGGTGGTGCCCAATTGAATGCGATGAGTCGTGTAGATGGCTTCACTTTCCTCTTTTCGAGAAGAAGAAAAGACGATCAATCTCAAACCTCTATTTAGATTGTTTTGAGAGAACTCTAGCCCCACGAGCTTGGGTCATTCTCATGCCAATAAAGAACAAAAAGGCTCTTGAGTTTTACCTTTTTTGTTACGTTTTTTAAATGAAAGCATCTTTTCTTTTTCTAAAGGAGAGCACAAGTTGGAAGATCAGTCTCCACATATTTAAAGACTCATAATTAGTAGCCTTTCCACCAAAAAAGTAATTCTCACAATGCATCATTTTCATGATGTTGAGTTTAGCTACACACGATATGGTGCAGGAGTTTTTATAAAGAGACAATTTGTCTTTATTACAAGGAGATCATAACTATTTTCACTCATTAGATGTCAAATTGGAAGGTTTCGGATGAGTCACGAAGTTTGATAAAAAAAAACTTTAAATTTTGTTTCTATTCAATGACACTCTTACGACCAACCATTTTAAAATTTAAAGGACAAGAGTGATAATGACTTCTTTGTACAAAAGATAAAGGAAATTTGTTTCATCCAGGTTGGACGACATTTCTACATATGCAGTTCAGAAAGTGTAAAGCATCCCAACTTAAAGATAGATGCAAGTAAGTATTCCATCTAAAAAATATAGAAACTAACAGACCAAATGCTTTCTTACTAGAATTATTATTTTGTTTTTAAAATTTATTTATTTTTCGTATTCATGATCTCCATATTAGATATTACATGTCCTTAAAATTAAGTCTTAAAATCCATCTCAAAAATAGATTTATTAATAGGCTCGTATTTCTGTATATGCGGGCTTGGCCACATAGAAACCGGGTCCAAGATAAATGGTCTCTTTGTAGACAATCTCATATATTGCTCTCAATTTCATCAACCAATAAGCCATTCATGTAGGTGTATGCTCCATGAGAGAAAGCACCATAAATCTCCAAAGCTACCCACTTGTAAGAGGTCTACCACAAGTTGCATTGCTCCCAAAAACTTCAATACTAACTACAAAGCAACATTGAATATCGGCAACAATAAAAAAAGAGAAAAGAAAAAAAAATCCAACGGTGGACAAACTCGTTCCATTCAAACGATGATCTTTGACTCCATAATGTTGGGTGAGTATAGCTATTAAAGGCCTTATGAGTGCTTGTAAAATAAAATGATATAGTGGAATACGAACTCAGTGAAAGCGTGGTCCCTCATAGACCATACTAAGCAAATGATGTTTGCTGATATCGGACTGTGCTTGACGGTCTAGGTCAGTCGGTTGGAAAAAACCCATATTACTTGGGCATATATAAATTGATAAGGGTTCTAATGGGTCATTCCTTAATGAAGTCGGAGTATGCTCGGATGAGTGAGCCTATGAAGTATGTGAACCCTTGTGTGTGATGGTGGCCTTTAGAGAAGGGGGCTAAAGTTTCATCCATGTACCGTCAAACGGCATGCATATTGATATACCGTTTCGAGAAAGCAAGCCACATTTCAAGGTAAAGCATATGCATATGCGAGAGATACCCCTATGCTCCATAGGAGCTTACCCCTATGCGCTATAGGAGCTGTGGTCGTATCAAGTCTAGGTGACATTGGCCCTTCTCTAGGGAAGAACCTAAAAACTACAGACTGAGATTGCGACCCCTTGGCTCATCGGTCAGACTTTGGTGACCCACTAATAAACCCCTGTATGGACTATGGGTAATGAAAGACACTGGGTTGGTTTGATAAAGCAAGTGTGGTCCGTAGTTCACAGTTGAAGGAGTGCCCCAATGTCTTATTGATTTAATTTCTAAACCATATGGATCATTTTCTCATTTAATGAATTTAATTATATTTGTTTTGTTGTATGTATAAGTTTAGAATTATTATTTTATTTTTCTAGA